TAAGGGGCTCAGGCGATGGCGGTGGAGGGCTTGGCGGCAGAGGCGACGGCGGTGTTGGGCTGGGCGGCAGAGGCGACGGCGGGGGTGGGCTGGGAGGCAGAGGTGATGGCGGCGGTGGGCTTGGAGGAATCGGTGATGGCGGTGGTGGACTAGGAGGCAGCGACGCCAAGGGCCTTGGTGGGGCTCGGAAAAAGAAAGGCGGCCGTGCCAATGGCGGGTTGCGGGGCTGCTGAGGTGACGGTGAAGGTGAAAGAGGGAAGTTGACGGGTTTCGGAGATGGCGGCATAAACGGTGCCGGGATTGGAGGCGGAGACGGAGAGGTAGGTTTGGGCGGCAGGGGGTTTGGCGAGGATGGCGGGATGGCTGGGAAGAAGGGCATGATGAGTTCAAAGCGGGTGTAGCATACCGCAATCAGCGGAACGTCTTCCGAGTACGGTAATCCTAAGAGGTGTCGCCGGCCAACAGATCTTGGAGGTGGGGGTGGGGGTGGCGGTGGCGATCGACGCGGCGGGGGAGGCGGGGGGGGCAATCGGCGGTACGGAGATCCAATTCCACGGGGTGGTCGAGGAGGTGGGAGCGGTGAAGACGGCGGCCGAGGGGGCGGCGACGCGGGAGGAGAGGGTGGGGGATTTGGCGTCCTAGATTGTGGGGGCGGTATCGGTGGGGGAGATAGCGGGGATGCCGGCCGAGGGTATGGGGGCGGAGGACGCGGCAGCGGCAGAGGAGGAGGAGAATGCGGTGGCCGAGGAGATGGGGACGATGGAGGAGGAGGGCGAGGTGAAGGGGGGGGAGGAGTTGGGGATCGAGGTGGCGGTCGTTGCGATAATGGCGGCGGCGGGAGTGGTGATCGTGGTGGTGGTGGGGTGGACGAAGGCGGCGGCGGCGGTTGTGGCCGTGGTGATGGTGGCGAGGGTGAGGGGGACATCGGCAGCGGAGCCGGGGGGCGGGAGAACGGCGGCGGTTGAACGGCGGGTGTCGACGCGGCCGTTCCCTCCGACCAAACTGATGCCACCAGACAGTTATCAGCTAATCCTGGGAAGGCATTGCACAGCCGGCGGACCGGTAGTTCTCTGCACTTCAGCATCACAAACGTGCCCAGCGTCAATGCATCAACAGCCGACAGCTCAGAGTCTGGGGTTGGAGCTGTCGACGCCGCTGCCACTGCGGTAACCACACGCTGGCGTAGCTCCGCCAAGTCCAGGGTGAGCTCCAGGGAAAGCGATGAGGCGGCTCCGGAACCTAAAACGAACGCCAAAATAGAACTTTAGTAGGCTCTTTCACGATCCGGGGCAGAATAGTACACATGGAAGAGAGGCATAAGGCGTAAGGCATACAAGGTTGCCTGACGGCGAAAGCGGTTGAACATTTATGCCCTGGGTTTAAGGGGATTACCGGTGCATGATTTGTCAAGAGCAAGCACGTGCATGAGTGGGCAATGAGCACATGAGCCCTTCTCCGTACGTTTGCCGTACAGGTCATATGAACCTTCACGGCTTTTCTATTTTACTCCCTGCGTGTGGAATTTAAGCTCACACAGAACGCTGGCCCTGAACAGCCCCAGCCATCCCCGATCGCTCCATTACCCATTAGCACTTTATACAACTGCCGTACTCCATGTACGGCAACCCCAGACCGTACGTACGGAATGCCAGCTGCCAACACGCCAGACATCTGCCGCCGTCATGCCCACATGCCTAAGTCATTTTCCAGTAAGCCCGTGCTCAATACTCACCCCCGGATGCGGAGACTGGAATCCCCATTATGTCCGCGCCGACCCACGGGACGGTGGGCCTGAACCAGACCTTCCCGTCCAATCCCTGGTCGGGTTGGTAGCAGGCTGTAGCACGGCTTACGTCGAGCTGCAGGACCAATGTGCTCGGCGGACCGCGAATGGCAAGGTCCGGCTGGGACAAAGGCTGCACGTTCAGCCTGAAAGTGTAGAGCTTCCTGCAAGCGTTACGAGTTCCGAACATGATGTTTTGTTTCCACGTGCACATGGCAGCTTCGAGCGTCAAACTGCGTACGTACGTGAAACCATTCGCTGTCTATTTTCACGCGTCAAGAGGGCAAGCCGAGTCAACCTTCATTTGGTATGCATCGTGATGCAGCAGATTCAAATTGCGAGGTAGAAGACAGTCCCCTGCGCTGTGGCTCTGTTGATGCTTATGAGGACGCACAGGTGCTCGGAGACTATAGGGTGCGCTTCCTTCTGCAAATAAGGACCTACACGCGCACGGCCAAATAAATTGCTTACCTGTTCTGGATTACTGTGTCCGCCCCAAAGACGAAATTGTAAGGCGAAGACCAGCAGCCACAATCCGTCCCGACGTATGACAATGGAAGGCTGTAGACAGGGCCCGGAACGAGTTTGCGGGGGTGAGGATAGGTGAGGGCAATGGAGCGATCTCCCGGATGCCAAGGGATGTCGGTACAATGCTTGTGCAGACTGAAAACAACTTTCTCGTGCAGTCTGGAGCCCCATTCGAGGTCCAGTTCTTAGCCCACAATAATAACAACTGGAGCACTGCATTACTAAGATGTCGGCAAAGATGTGGCGGGCAGGCGGGCGGGCGGGCAAGGCAGGGTGCGCGGGCTAAGGTAGATAACAAAGAAATGAATCGGCAGTTTACGGGATGTTAACGGAAATAACTATATAAGTAACGAAACAGTGAATACTAATTTACTGGTATAAATAGCAGTCAATGGCTTTTCAATACCAATGAAGGGCGATATGTTCCGGACTTATGTCTGGGCCCCAATACCATAATCCTCCATTGAACTCGCAAAGACACAAACCTGCCTGAGCTGCGGACTCCTGGGCAGCTTTACAATTCAGTACCTACGATATATCTGTGATCCCGCACAGAGTACGTCAAATTCCTCTTTCACTGCCTGATATGCTGACGCAATCCTTTTCGTATGTGCACGTCCGATTGTGAATCCCAATGAATCGGTAGGAGCTCCAGTCTATTTACCTGAAGTCGCTTGGGAAGGTCTCGTTGCGAATCCTCGGGACTGCTACCAGCTCAGAGAAGCCGGGCGCCACGGGCTGCTGTTCCATCGAGCAGATAAGACTCGTGCTATCCGCTGCTTGGAGAACGTACGCAAAGCTGTCCGATCCCTCTGCATGCACACCAGCACAAATGCAACATCCAGCCGGGAAGGGGGACAAGAGGTCGGGGAGTCAAAATCAGCAGGCCGTACGCACAGGGGAAAGCTCAGTGATAAGCAGGATGTATAAATCTCCTCGAACGCGCCTGTTGCTACTGCTGCTGATAAGGCTGCTACGTCTTCACGCTAATACCAGATCGCGAAGACGAACAGCATCGGATAGTGTGCCGTGAGAGTGCGAGACGCAAAGCAAAGCTGCGCTGTCTGCATTCAGAATTAAACAAGCCAACAAGGATGGACCTACAACGCTCTTGTGCTTGATATGCCAACCCTATTTACCATCACTCCGTGGCCGGGGTTAGTCCTTTTGGACCGAACCTGAACCACTGGAAGAGCAACAGCTAGCTGACGGGCCTAAACCAGCAGTCGGCTACTCGACTGGCTGTCTTGCAAGCCGGCTGGCTGCCTGGCTAGCTGATTGCCTGATTGACACGTGTTTTAGGTACGGTAGTATCTGGCGATGTGCTACTACCGCTGTCGTGTCGTACCTTCATACAAGGAAGCTGACCAAGACGTGGGCTGTGGCGGGGTTTCAGGTAGCTCGAGGGGCATCCTGCGCGTACAGATCAGATGGTGAGCAATTAGGTGCGAACCTAAAATGAACCATTAAATAGTTTCGCGGGTCTGTCCGGGGTGTACGGCAAGCACTCACCCCGTTAGCTCTGGAGATGGCGAGTGCTGCCCCCCTGGGAGCGGGCCCGGTTTGGAGGTCCCCGCTATGAATGGGCGGGGAGCCTCCGCCGCGCTTACGCCCACACCGCCGTGGCCAGGGAGCAGTAGCAGTAGCAGGGCCAAGCCCACGAGCCATGAGCTGAGGGATGTAGGATGCCGCCTCAAGTGGCAAAGGCGACCTATTGAAACATGGTTTGGCCGCTGCTTGCAACAGGGGACGTCATCAGGTCGTGAGACGGGCCGACCTGTCGCCGCGGAGGCGACCCGAAGGCGGCAATTGCCATGGGAGCTGGTTGCAGATGGCACCAATACTCCTGTGCTAGCTAGGCACCTTAATTCATTAACCTTTTGCTCGAGGTTGAACAATAGTGCGTTGGACATAACGGCCAGTTGCCGAGTGTATACGAGTGGCTTCCGGGCAACGGCTGGTCGTTGTCCTGTTTGAGCACGAGGCGAACCGCAGATTGAACGCGGTGTATTGGGGCTGAACAAGATAATTAGTTATCAGTAATGGGGATCGCCATAGTATTAGAGAACGACGACGCTGTCAACTGTAGGCAGAAACGGGTTCCTAGCACTCGCATGCATGGCAACTACTTGAATGTGCTAGTGAGCTATTTCATTTTCATCCTTGGCTTTTCGCTTTTCCGTGCTTGAGCGTATGTAAGGTTCGGTATGACGATTGTGTTAGAAAGCCACCCTACAGGATGCTAGAGAACGCGGTTGCACAAAATATGACGAACAGTGAAACGCAAGGAATTACCCTAAATCTCTTCCAGTATCATGACCAAGATTTCCCTTGGAGACGTGTACGGTCACTGCGTCCGCATGGTAGGAGATCACAAATGGGCTAATGCTGTCGTCCCCCAGATTTAGTTTACCTAAAGAGTAAATGTTCACGGATTATAAAGCATGAATGCTTTCTTGTGCGTACATGGCCCTTCGACTACAAAAGGCGGGCGGGAACATGATCTACGGTCTCTTACCTGCCAACAAATGTCTGGCCGGTAAGCATGTAAAGATTCTTCTACATTTATGAAAGACTAGTTTTATTGCAATGATCCTATACGAAATTGCAGACATCTGGGCCATGCCAGTAGCTCCGACCCTGAGAAGATGACCTGCAAACTACTTGCATGCCGAACCGCCGGTGTACTCAAAGTTTACTTTAGGAGTTTACGCATAACAATTCCTCAGCGGTAGAGAGGGATGCCTCGCAGGTTGCACCATGCTGTGCGCCGCGTACTTTGGCACGAAAGTTTGTAGACCTTCATAATGATTATAAGCAAGCCAGTTTAATAGATAAGCTCCAAGTCTTATGGCCTTGACGGAGGGGGCGTGTCCTGAAACTATGGATAAGTACTCACATACAAACCGGATGTTAAGGCGGCTCACAATCGTTATGTTGTCCTGTTAAGGCACTTTTATGAGGAAAGGACGAAGCTGCACGCGTCGCCTCAAACGTGCAGTGTGCTACGGGAACGATGGCAGGAATAGCGGATGGCAAACAGCAACTGGCAGGTAACCCGCGGCTCAACATTCACGTGCATAGGGTCCATGCCCGGATCCTGGGCTTGCCGCTGGAACCTCCCGGCCCTTGTCGGTAATCCCAGCTCGAACGCCGCGTCTGCAGTCACCCCCCTAAAATGTGAGAGCAAAGAAACTGCGACTAACTGCTGCCAGGGGTGGCGCTACAGCCATGCTATACTCTGTGCGCACGCGCACACTGCGCACCTTCCAGCGAGGGACCTAACCGGGAGGAAGTGCACATGGCCATGAAGCCATGGATGGCATCACGACCCGTAACTATCTCTTGCAAGGTTGCATATGTAGGGCTGATCACAGGTCGCTGTGGGGATCCCCCGGCTCCTTTCGAACGGGACTTAGTGTTGGGGGGCGCTCATGTTGGGGGAAGTTACATACTCTACACCTTACCTCTGATGGAGCCCTGTCCTACCAAGACCATTCTGGTATTCGAGCCTACAGTTGAGGGATTAACTAATTGGGTTCCTCAACGGCATTTGCTTGGAGTTAGCTAGGCGTTTGAGACCTTCTGGAGAGACAGACAGATAGACGGACGGACGGTTGGACAGTTTGACTGACGGACGGACGGTTGGACAGTTGGACTGACAGACGGACGGACAAACTAACTATCGAACTGAGTCTGCAGACCCAGCTGGGTGTCCACCCCGCGGGCATTGGGGGACTTGGATGCACCGGCGGATGCTCACGGGCAGAGTGCCGCGGGATGAAGTCTTCATCCTGGCAGTGCATGGTAGAAATGGAGCTTGGGATTGGAGTTTGCGATTCTCCCCCTTTTTTGCTTCTTTTACCGGGTGCTGGTCTGTTGGTGATGCAGCAGCCCCCAGGGCAACAATCGTGCTTGAACGGCAGCAAGATGTGCGGCCCTCGGCAGCAATCCATGTTTTCAGCCTTCTAAGCTTGAACCGCGTCTCATGACATCCTTAGGCCACCGCGCTGCAGGGCTGGAGCCACGGGCTTCAAAGGAAAGGGTGAGACACGGAACGGCAAGGGGGAAAACCAGCACCACTAAAAGCCCGCCATCCCTTAGTCTCTCGACATGCGCTGATGAAGAAAGCATGCAAATTAGGGCATCTCCGCATCCCGCAAGACTTGCGCGCATTGAGTACAGAGCTTCAATATAAGTATCAGAGCTGGCGACCTGGGTCAGGAAGCAGTACACCAGCCGCCAGCGTTCACGCTTGCACCACCATTGTCCCGGGGACATATTGGTCTTAATTTAAGTGAGCAATTCCATTTTCCGTAATGCCTCGCATTATCGCCCCCTCTTCTAGCCGGGATTGCTGTCTTCCCAGTTTACTCCTTAGTCAGCACTCCGTTCGAGCGTTGAGCGGGGACCAACTGACAGGTATTCAATCGTTGTGCACATCCCAAGCCATCCAAGCCCCACAATCAGTGCAACAATGTGTTTGGGATGTTGTGGCTCTTGCTGCGGTGTCAGCCATGGAGCATGGGAGACGTTATATGGCTGCAAACATGAAAACCAACCCGGCACTGTTACCTGGTCCTTCCCTTACGGAAGAAGCAATTTGTCGAGTTATTGTTGATTTTTGGGGCCGCATTCAGGGTTTCGCAGCTTTAGGAATTCCACGAAAAGGTTGGGAATCCGTTGGCGCACATCACCCCTTATTGAGGATTATATCTGGCAAATTGATTTGTTCGCGAGAGCGGTTACCGATGAGAGGTTAATTATCTGAGATGATAATCTTTTGGTATATTAGTCTCTACTGCAGTGCACGGCCAGCTGGCCCGATGGCTCTACTCTTCGGGAGTCTGGAGCCCACTGTAACAACCACACACACATCCCTCGAACGGTGTCACAAGCAAAAGGGCGTGGCTTTTACCATCTCACAGGTATTCAATCCTTGTGCACATCTCTCAAAGGGCATAATTAGCAAAAGGACGTGGCTTTTCCAGACATCACGTAATTGGCTGTTGCCGCGGCCGCGGGCTGCCGCGGGGTTGCCCACCTTTGTTAAAACTTAGGCACACGGGCTGCTCTTAAATTTTTTGGCCGCAAAACAAATGCAAATTCATGGAACTACATGGATTAATCAAATAATGCCGTTAAGAAACTACTTTTCGCATCTGTTGCAAGTCCAATGTTTCCAGATGGCCGCTTCACACTCTGACCCTTAGTCCGCAAGGCCATAATAAAGCTGTGCCATGCTATGCAGCCTTCCATACTTCCATATAGCTGCCAGTAAAGAGTTTGAGCTGCGTCTGGGCGATTGACAGAAGCTACATACGACTGCAAAACCTGTTTACTGGCCAAGACCAAGTTGGTGCATGTAGCTAAAAAATAAGCTATAAATACAGAAAACTTCAAGTAAGGGAGCTTGTTAAGGACCTATCGTAAACGATACCCTGGACGGAAAGCCGTACGTACAGGGCAGATGTAGAAGGTTCTATACGTCCCCACGAGTTGTGGATGACCATGGGAGGATCTAAAACACGAGAGCACATATGTCGTCATTTTTTCAGATTTGAAATCCGGAGGCCAGAATGTTTTTCGAGGTCGAATGCCATAGACTGCGCGTGCACGCTCCTAGAGCAGGCGTACTAACCCAGTATGTCAGTGTCCCTAAAGACGACCATCAAACTGTGTACAATTTCTTACATTTGCAAGTGGGAGAGCCCCCCGTCTCGCTATGCCACATGCCCACGACGAACGAGGACGTACGCCAATTGTGCATACTTTGCGCGTAGGACTCCGTTTACTAGTATATTTTTTTAAGTTTGAGCCTATCAATTATGGCCTGACTGCCTGCAGTACCACATTTACTTGCCCACACAACAGCTCATGTTTTAGCTTACTCAGATTTTGATAAAGTGACGAACAAGCACTAGAACTACAATTCATTACCAACCGCGCCGGCCCAGTGCATCCACCATGTAACTATCCTGGTGCCCAACCGCGCCGTCCCTGGCCGACTGCAGTACATTTAGGACGATGCAGTACAGTACGCTCGGATCCAATCTGCACATTTTATCTCCCTGGATCAGCTGTCACACCATTCATCGGCCGATGCTGGATGGATGTCCGCGGACATCCATCCACACGTAACGCAAAACAGGCCATACATGTACATCCCGTTGAAGGTTGCGTGTCGACGAACCGAAGCAAGTATGTACAATGTACGAAAACAATGCACCAATACCTGCAGGCGTGAAGACTGGATGACAACATCTCATGGAAAAGACACAACACGTCTGCACCCACCGAAACGATACCCGAACCACCCCTACCCATAAAGTTCCAATGTGCAGATATGCGGTGTAGATAGAGCAAAACCATGGCCGTATGCATAGCCGCATGCCCCCTCAGAAAACCGCGCGCGGTCGAGGGGCCAAATATGCACGACCCACAGAATTCATAATTCGAATGCGTGCCATATGTACGAATGGTGTCTACCATGCTTAACAACGCCACAGCAACACACCGCCTTTGGTGATAGCCGTGCGTGTGCAAGTACGTAATGGGATGAACGATGATGAAGTAGCGCTTCCTGCAACCTGTGGTGTATACACACATGCTCGCAAGCGCACGCTCAAGCTGGTTGGGCTTGTTTGTTTGTTCCACTTATTCCCATGTATAACACAGTTGCCAGCCAACTACTCGGTGTTCGGTAGCACACGTGGCAACAGATGACACACACACATATATGTGGTCCGCCCTTTCCTCTGCCTGCATTCGCAAGCCTTAGCGCTGGCCACGCCTGGGCCAGCAGCCAGAGGCACCAGGGCCAGGGCGACATTCTCCGGCCAAAGGCGGCAAGCTATGGGGACGGGGCGACGGGAGGGCAGCAGCTAGCCGAAAAAGGATATGTACGGCTATCTGAAAGCGATGCCCAACCATGCGCACTTACCAACAGCCTTTTTTGCGCATGTATATACACACCGTCACATTTGAATGACCTTCTTCGAAGCTACTTTGGCTGGACCTTGCTACATCATAGAAGGCACATGAGCTATTAACAAACAATACCACGCCGGCTGCACTCGCACGCACGTTCACTAGCTACAAACCGACCAGAAGATATGTATACTCACGCACCATGCATACAACCTAGGTACCTCTCTCAGGAACTGTTCAACGCGTGGCTGACGGATGTTTAGCCATTCCGGAACGTATTCATGAACTCAGCTTGCATCTCACTACTCTCGCTCAAAGTGCCCACACATGCATACATGTGTACGCGACATAGCTTTTTTCAAAATATTAATAAAGTCCGGAAAGAGGAAACGAAGGGCATGCAAACATATCAAGTATTTACCATCAGTGTTACGGTTTATCGATTCCGCACACGAGCCAGGCACATTACGTACAATAAGCCTCGCATCCATGAGAGCAAACACTGCTCCCGAAACTATTTTATCCGCACGCCACGGCCACGGGCACGAGGCTTTGTAACGGATTAATTGAGCAGACGGAGGGGCAGACCACGTGTAAAAACGACGGCTGACAGGATAGGATGGTGGCCATTTAATGTCACGTGAAGACGATAAATAGGGGATTAATGGAATTGCTTGTGATTATGCTGCTCAACGCGGCACATAAATAAAACGAGGAGGACAGAACTCCTCGTGGTGCACATCTATGCATGCATCTATTGTACACCATCCATCCATCCGTTTGTCTGCTGGGTTTAAAAGCAACACCCGCGAAACAATTAGCGACAAAGCCAAGGCGCATTTAATTCTTGTCAATAGCAATAATGAGGAAGGCGTGCGTTGCGATTCTATGCTCTAGCTGAGCAGCATTATCAAGCCAACTAATTCATGCAGCGCACCTGCGCCGCGAAACGTCCCAGCCTACTTGGCCGCTTACAGGCCATCCTGCCTGTCTTGCTCCCTGCCCTGCCTGCAGCTGCCCCTGCAACTACCTGCCAGTCTGCGTAGGCGGATTTCGACAACACTTTCCAACAACCACTGTCCAAATTTATGAAGTGCTCTTCAGCTAGCTAGCTAGCTGCTACGCATATGAATCGTCAAATGACCCCTCATCCTGCACTGGACTGTCTCCTTGGTCTCCGCCTAACGGCTGTTCCAGTCCTACCGGCACTTGGGCCAGGCCTTGGGCCCGGCAGACTGTCGCGAATCTGTGTCCGGGGGTATCCACCAGGGCGTATATGCACATGTCTTCCTTAGCGCGTCTGCAAACGTTGACAAACGGCCCCATGGACTCGCACTTGGCGAGCATAAACTTTCCGTTTGTGTAGTTGGTCTTGAGACCGTAAATGTACAGCTCGATGTGACTCCTGTCCGCCGTTACCCCTGTGGGAGTGAAAGCGCAAAACAGTCACCACGTGCGTGCGTGCGGCCTGGCAGTGAAAAAGCGCATAAGGTGAGGCTTCTGTCTTGGGGATAGAAGCAAGCTCGTCATGCCTCTGTTCCGCCAGATTGCCGCAACCCCGCGTATTGCGGCAAAGTCAAAAATAGGAGACAGGGAGGTTCAGTTCAGCAACATAATGACGTGCGGCAGCTTCACCGACGTACTATCACCACGCGCCGAGATTACATGTACGTGGGAGCCATTTGCGCACTTCCGTGGCAGGGCCTTTCAAGCAGCCGACACAATAATTGGCAGCATCTCAAACCGCCCCTTGATGGCCGGCTCCGGGCGTCTGCATGCCCGCATCCTTTGGCAGCCGATACATAAATTGCTACTGGTGCACAAAGCTGCATGCCGCGTTTTTGTGCCAGAACCAGTCTCTCACCTACGCGCGCCG